AATAAAAATATTCTTTGAATTTTCCAAAAATTCCAAAAATTTTAATTTATAAGGATTGCGGAAAATCAAGGTATGTACTAGAAAGATATAGTACTACTTTATGAATATCATTACACCGAAAAATCAATTTAAAAAAAATTTTACATGACACCCTACTCGTGTTTTCAAGTGTGAAGCTGTAGAATATACTATAATGATTAGGCTTCTGGAACAAAATTCATAATATTATGTAATCCAACGCTTTCCTCTATTAAATGCACAGGACAATTAATCGTTCTATTTCCTAGAATCTCTCTAACATAGTAATCTTTATGTAGAAACATCAAGGATGATTGATCAACGCGTGTTCAATAAAATGCAAAAATAGTCAGAGAACATGCGTGTTAACAAAGAATCTCCAGCTATCCACGTCCCTCGGAACGATGGAAGATGAAAGATACACGATTCTATCGACGAAGGAGAGATAATGGTTCACGGAATTTACCATTGTGTTCATTGTCTACTGTATCGTCTAAGCAGTGTTCGACTGCGAATCCAAAGAGGCGTCGAACGTTATTATCCTAGTTCTCATTAATTCGTCCATCTGAAAAACGTGCCGATCAGCGGTGAAAGAACAATGGTGTAATAACAGTGTGGGAAAGGTCCTGGCAAAGCTGGGACACACTGATGATGAGTCGTCGAACACGTTTCATCCGCGCAACGTGGGTAGTACAGCACGGCAAACAGCTAATTACATACACTGGAACGACCAGGCACGGTGAAAACTTTTAATCCTGAAATTATACTCGACACCTGACTTTGCAAGTCTATATAAATTTACGTGTGAACACGGTGTTCCTGTTTAACCCTTTCCTCGCTATGGGTGCCTGTGGTCTATTGCAAAGTGTTTGCGTTTGAAAATAGCAAGAGGCCAATAGAAATTTTTGTATGAAATAATGAAAGGATTAGAATGGCAAGGTGTCTTATTAGAAATATTTATTTCCACTGCGATGGTCGATGTGTTAACCCTAGAAAGGGTTAAGAGATAAATGCAACCGCAAATCATATCCGTGTGCATAGTGCGAGCTTCGACAGTGAAGCGTTGCATAGCAACTCTTTCTATAAGGTAGATTATAAGGCTGTAGTCGATTTTAGCGGTGGAAAATTTTTCAAGTTTCCAAATTTTCAGGTGGAGGGGAAAAGGAAGATAAAAATGTGTCGTTTTCTTAGGCTATGATGGTAGAATAAAAATTTGTATGAAAGACAAATTGCTCCCAATATAACGAGAGTCTATTGTATTATTAATTCCAAAAATTTTCTACTTCTACTGTCCCCCTAACCGACAATATAGCGAGAGTTTAGTGTACTTCAATTTTTGGAATCACCATTCTAAGATCTAGATTTCTCGTGGAATGATTAGATCGAAAATAGGGATTGTCCAAAGGATGTTACACGATTACGTTTGCGCGTCATCGCATTGCGATGGTCGCTCGACATCCGTGAAAGAAACGAACAATACCGAGTGAGAGTTTCTCGGGTCTCATATAAGGCGATCGTTCGATGCTCGTATGCATAACTCATGCATCCGTTTCTCGAAAAAACCGCTCGTTCCTTCTTCTTCAACTCTATTTCTTTTTTTTTTTTTTTTCATTTCTTTTCATTGCCTTTAAAACGGTATTTGTTTCACGGGACGCGGAACGTTCGACGCGTTATAGGCCGGCTACCTCTGGCTTTTCGCGCTTTCATGCACTGAATGGTATACGGTTCTGCGGTTTCCAGGATGATCCGCATCGCGCCGTGGAAAAAATTCGGTCAAGTCGTCGGATTAATTAAACGCCGCTTTGCGTTTCCCCAGGTACAACAAGTCTCGGTAAGAGAGCGCGGATTTTCGAGGAGGACGAAGGAGGAAGAGGGAGCGCGGTTGGACGCGCGAGCGAGACGGATGTCTTTTCCATTTAAACGATGCTGGTTAATGACTGCATTAGAATTGCAAGCGGTCTCGAGCGTGGCGGAAGTCGAAATTAAGCCGCGTAAAGTCGTGCCTTTTCGTTCGTGGCACGATGCAACGGAAAGAAAAATTTCTGTTTCTTCCTAGATTTCTTACCATCGACGTGCACTTTCCTCGCGCTTTTAACCCTTTCCTTCAACGTTTCTTTTGCCACTACGTGTACCACCGTGCAAAGTGGTTGGATATGAAAGTACATACTTCGTGCCGAGTTTCTTTGTTTCAGACATTTATGGTAGAGTTTGAAGTAGAAACTTCGAGAAAGGTTGAAATTTATCAGACTGTAAAATTTACATGGCTATCGCTTTTCGAAGGATTTATTGAAGTAAATCATAGACGCGAGAACATACGACTCGAGACTGAATTATAATACGTATGTATTTTAGAAAACATGCGGGAACACGATTATTCGAGGAAACGATTGATCGAAATTTCACTGCAGCTGAAACTGAATCATATGCAAAACATCATTCAAGTGCAATTTGCACCGATTCTTGTACGATTGGGTGCGAATTAGATTTCTTTAAACCCTTAACTGTTGAAAAATCTTAACCAATTATTAAATAAGAAATTTATAAATTAAAAATACGTTATGAAAGAAAATTAAACAAACGTTTCTGTAAAAATTTCGTTATTTCTCAAAAATCAGCTTACCAATTAAGGGTTGATTAACAGGAAGTGTAGAGGAAGAAGTGCTCCATCACTCACCTTATTTATGCAAAAATAGGAAGTTCTAGATTAGACTGTCTCTAGTTCTCCCTAGAATTTTCCAAAATCAAAGCCAAATGATGGGGTGGCTACCCTCCCCTTGCACTCACCCTTAATCAGAAAAAGCTCATATTTCACCTGAGTATACATACTTGAATGATAAGCCTACACCAGAAATGTATTCATCTTTCTTACGAGATGTACACGGGAATTAAAATAAATTCCCGATTGATTGGTTGTTCGATCCCAATAGGCGTTATTGTGCCGTTGCAACAGACAACGATCGGTTTCGCAATAATCCAGTGAACTTTTATACGCACGAACGGCCTTGCCTTTTTACATTAGCATTGCCGTCGATGTGTGGGTGTCACTTACTTTCGTGCCTTGAAAAACCTTTCACTGTTTTGCACCTACATAGACGAGCGGTAGACAGCCGCGTGCCGTTGCCATAAAGTCAGAGAAATCTTGGGAACCGTGTAACTCGTTCCATCTAGCCAATCCCATTTCTAATTCTATTTCCTTGAAATAAATAGAGCGCGATCAATTCTAAAGTAAAAATTAAATAAATGGATAAAATCGAATCTTTGGTGGGGTTACGGGGTGAAACCATCCCCAAAGCTCATCATTCAAATTATTACTAACTCAATTTGCAAGAAGTTGCAAATTTAATTATATATGCTATAAACAAAATAGAGAACTAGGTGTTTAGCGAAGTATAGGTAGAGTTAATAAAATTTAGTTACACGGACCTCTACCGTGACAATACGTGTTATATGGGCGACGAATGCAGTGCAAATGAAAGAATTTCGAATAGCTGATTGCACGCGTAACGATCAACTGTTTCAGTTTTAACGAGCGATAGGAAATCGTGTCGTCGAAGGGAAAGCTACTACGGATGATGTAAATCATCGGCTCGTTTCGTGTTCATCCGAACGAGAAACAGGTACAGTCGTTGTTCGTTTGTCGTATGCGTCCTGTTTCCAGTGAGACATCCAAACGACACTAAACAACCGCATACTTGTACCTAGACCGTGAATGTAGACTAACACATGATCCATGTAGAATTTTAATTATCGCTCGAGATGCGATCGAGTGCCGCGCTACTGATTCAATGCTGGACGAGAAACTCGACTACCGTGCAACGTTTCTCCTTCCCGAACAATTTAAAACCAGATAAAAAAGCTCGCACGTCAAGTTTGATGGAAAAAGTTTCAAGAATGCTTCGTTCATTTCTTTTTTTGTTCTTTTAATTTAAACGAGCGCTTCAAGTTGCGCCATTTAAAACGAGACCGGACCTTCGAGCGTTCCACCAGATCCTCGCGTTAATTGCGGTCCAGACTTGGCTAATTAGGAAATAATTATGTGTACAGATTAATATTTGAAACCAGTAGCATCGTAGACGTCCCTTGAATTATTTTCACTCGTTCCCTGTAACTCCTTATGATTATTTTATGAATCATTCATTTTACGTTCTTGTATATCCCGTGCTTCTTTTTTAACGCAGCTGTATCTGTCTTTTGTTAAAAAGCATGTCGCTGTGAACGTACATATATTTTCATACAAACATAGTCGTATTCGTACATGATTCATTAAGTTTCATTTTCATTTTCAAATACTCTTCGAAAATTCATATAAACTTAATAAGGGTAAAATTATTTAATCTTCTCTCTTTGTACAAATATGTCACACCCCATGCATTTTCAAGATAAAATATAAAGAAAAAGCTCTGGCTGCATAGTTATATTTGTAAAATTTTGTTGATGTTTAAGAAGATAGGTAAAAAGGAATTAAAAATTAAAAAATTGTTATAAGCCTGGGGTGTGTTTGCAGGCTTGTACACAAAGGGAAGATAAAATTTTTCAAAACTGACGGCGTTATTGAATGTGAAGATATAAAATGGAATCTCTCAGAGAGTATTCCTTTGAAGGTAAAGGGAAATCGAATTTTTGAAGAGTATTTCAGTAGACATCCCGGTGCCTGGCCTTAGGCATCGGCCGCAGAACGACCTTCATCCTTCACCGATCACCGGCAAATCACCTCGACTCCCTCTGTTCGCTCTTTTTTCTTTCCCCTTTCATTCGGATGAATCTTTACAAGTCACACCGGTCATACATTCATAATTCACCGCCACGTACCACGAACCACGAACCACGAACAGTCGTTTCTTCATCATCCTTCGTTCACCGGCATCGCTAATCATTTCATTATTTCACGACCGTGCTTCGACGCTTCGATTTGTTGTAGCCGTTGTGTTGTTTTTTTTCTTTTAAGTTGCTAGCCCCTATCCTGTTCCTACTTTCTGTTCCAGATTTCGTACGAACCGTCGACGTACGGTACGAAAGGCATCGAGAGCGAGGATGTAGCGAGCAGGGACAGCCTGTCACGAGAATCGTATCGAGAGGATGTGCACGAGAGCACGATCGACGCTGACAAAGAAGTTCACGCCTCGAAGCGAGTCTGTTATCGAACGGATCATCGATTAAGATCACTGCCAGAGTAATGACGAGATAGTGAACAAAATTATTCCGTCCGTGAGCCGTCCTTCGATAGTCGTTTCACACCGATCGAAAAAAGAAAAAAGGAAGAAGAAAAAGAAAAATACTCTTTGTCTGCTTTTCGAGATCAAAGACTGAATATATCAAAGAGAGGAAAGATGTTGGGAGTGAGTCAGCCGGGAAATCCACCCTCGAGCTTGCGACACTCGGCGAGTTTCTCTTGTCTGCAGCGTGGCACAGCCAGCGAGGGGCACAGAGCGAGGACTTCGACCCTGTTGCAGCAGCCGAACCTGCAGTTGAGCGGAAGTCATCATCAATACTCGTCCGGTCAGACATCTTTGCTGCAACATTCGACCGGCACCGTTCAGCATCGCATCGAGGCGTTGGAGTCGATTCAAGACAGCAACGATTATGGTTTCGTCAAGATCAGACCCCGTCTGCGCAGCACGAACGCCACATTATACTACGAAGAAGAAGTCGCTGCTCAGAAGAACGCTTTGTGGGACCGGGATGCGTCAGCGTTCAGCGATCGCGAGTGCGACACCAATTACAGAGAATGTTCGTTGAAAATGAAGGACCGTGATCATTCGCCAAAAGTTGGCTCTTCGAAGAATCAGAATCCTTTGAGAGGCGCTTTGATATTATTCACCTCGACGTCTTCATGGTGGAAAGCCAGGCAACGGGAGGATCAATTGAACGGTTCCACCGGTGATCGTACACTAGGCTCTACCACTTCTGGCGTTGGCTCCTCTTCGGAGCGAAAGTGGTCGAGCACTTCCATGGCATCTCCTTCGAACGAAAGAAAGTGGCCGTCGGTGACGTCGCCCACGAACGACCGGAAGTGGTCCGTGGGCAACGGGGCTCTGACGTCGCCGGGCAACGAAAGGAAGTGGACCAGATCGTCCGTCTGTTCGAACTCTACGGGACAGCAAGACAGGAAGTGGCGATCACTCGGTGCCCTGCTAAGGGCTCCCACGGGCAACGGTTCGCACGCTGTTCAACACTCGCTGTCCCATAACATGAGCGTGTCCATGATCGAGGGCGAGCATTTCCGGGATGATCCTCGTGGCTCGAGTTGCAAGTCGACCCGGTACCAGCAGCCCACCTCCTATTCCGCCCGTGTGTCCCGAGTCAGCCGGGACATATATAGAGAAAACGGGGAATTCGGTCAGACTTCTGGAAGATCGAAGGTCAGCCGTAGGTTGTACCAAGACAACAACAACGCTGAGTCAATCGAAAGGGACATCGACGATAGACATCCGAATAGACACCAGTTCGACGACGAGTGTCGTGGTAGAACGAATCGAGAAAGCATATGCAAAACTGAACAGACGGGCAACGAGACGCGAGCCACTTCAACGAGATCAAGCAGAGCTCAAAGCTTTTATCTTTTGGATGATTTCCTGCGACCGCAACCGCAGCCGAATAAATGTATGCTCAACGTATACTTGTCACCGTCTCACTCGAAGTCTGGCAATAACAACGATCATGGAAGATCAACGGAAGTGAAACAGATCTCGCAGGGGAACGTCACTAACATAACACCGCCTCGACGTCATAACTCGAGCTCGGATAGCCTCGAAGTAGCGACCAGTCCTCTTCCGCCGCCAGTGCCGCCTCCGCCACCGCAGGTCACCACCCGGGACAGAGAAAGGGGTGAGAATTTCAAAGAGAAGGACGTGTGCCAGTGCAAAATGTGCTGCACCATTATGCACCAGAGATCTTTCGTTGAAGAGGTAAGTCCTCCGAGAGAGGAATACATCCAAGGGGATATTATGTACCTATACGTCGTATTTTATCGTGTTTCATTTCGGTATATGGGATTTTCTCGAAATCGTGACGGGTGTACTGTATATTTGTCGATGCATTTTCTTTATAACTTTTTGAGGAAGTAATTATTTACACGAGATTCCATTTATCCAGGTTAAGGTTATAATTTTATATATACTCTTTTGCAATAAGGGTACATTTTTATGGATTATTTCAATTTATTTCATCGTGGCTATTTCCATAAACACGCTACGTGATCAAATGGGTTATAAAAGATGTTTAAAATTAATTTGTTAATACGATACTTCGGTTAGCTGTTTTACATTATTAACAGTATTTTGAACTATTCTACTACTCTCATTTCTTAGTTACTTAATTAAATTAAATTCATAATTCTGACGTAGTGGTTAACCTATTCGCTACCCTATTCTTTTTACTCGAACGAATTAATTTTCCCGGCTAACAGAAGAATTTTGATAATAATTTATCCAAATATGGAACGACGTGAAAGCGTTGAATATTACTCGAACGATTTGAATCTCGTCGAAGATGTATATACGCGTAAACAGTTTTGAACGTTTCAGACAACGAACCCGGCTTGAAATATCGCGACGCGTCGCGGTAGAGCGATAAAAATATCACGCGGCACGTTTTGAACGGTGGTGCCAATATTGTTTCCACCGTTCGAAGTCGTGGACCACGAATTTACACGAGCGTGAAAGTTTCCCGGTCACGAGGGGGTGGTTCGATGCAGCAAGGGGTAAAAATTGCGCTACCGCACAAGTACGTGCTGAAAATCCATAATCGAGGCTCGCTGCCGGCTACGAGGGTACGGCAACCGTTTAAAATCGAACGGAAATCCAGTTGAACCGTCCGCCAACGTTGCAGCGGTTACTAATAATAGAGTAGATGCTGGAAGGATAGAAATACGACTTCCTTCGCCACTCTCTACCCTACCGCGTCCCAAGAATAACGGGCTTTCGTTCGATACAACCGCACGATCAGCGAAATAAGGGGTCAGGGGCGGCAACCTAATTCAAACATTCGTGATACGGCTAACAGGGTGAAGGAAGACCCGCGTTCACGTGTTTCTTCAGGGTCTAAAGCGATCGAAAAGGAGACTGTATGAGAAATCAAATTTATTTGTCATTCTTTGTCAGGGTTAAAATTGGATGAATAATTTATCCGTTATTTAGTTCGATGCTTTTAGGGGTGAATTTTATACTACCGTCCTTTCACATTCATTTTTACACTTGTTGCTGCTATGATTATCGATTTTAGATAATGCATTTGTACACTATCGTCCAAAAGTCTTAGATAGTTGTTATATTTAAACAAATTTTCAGATTTTATACGGGGATTGAAATTCGAGTGGTTTTGTCTAATGATCATTAATAAAAATATTTAGTTCTATGCATAAATATGATTTTTTGAATACTTTGCAATAATTCAGATTCGGTTATTTTAATATAATTTTTTTTAAATGAATTAGTAAGTGAATATTTTCGTTACTATGTAAAATATCATTTGACATAATATTTAAAAAAATCTCTTAATGTTATTTTACAATTTTTCTTCGGCTTGAGTAAAAATTCAGTAACTACTCAAAACTTCTGAACGATACCGTACAAAGTGCGCTGTAAAAGGGTTAAAAATATAAAATCCATAAGATTATCAGGGATGCGTGGTCATTGCATGATCTAGTTAACAGGCTAACACGTTAATTGCTCTAGTGGTCACAAAATTTTTCTACCTACTCAATTAGATACCTTAGACGAAGAGTAATAGAAATAATGAAATTTTATAAAAATGAAATATCAAATTTCTTCGAAATAAAAGTCTTGCCTAATGAAACTTTTAACAGCTCCATCGTACCAGTCAGTGTATTAATAATTCTCATTAAAGTGTGTCGTACCATACATCGCCATTTTCATTGCGCCAGTCAACGTGTTAATGAAACGAGTCGTAACGTTTTATGGCTGTGTGTCGTTGTACCCATTTGTCTCAGCTGGTTCTTTGTTGTCAGGATTTTAGCGACGCGTAACTTCGAACATTTTACTCCCCCGTTCTTTCGCGATCGTTCATCAACCGTATCGTTGATTCTCCCCCTTTTTTTTTTCGCTCTATAATATCAAGACGTCCTAGGTCAGGGACGCGTAACCTACGCATCCGGTTCAGACATCCACTTCCAGCGGTCTGTCGAGAGGCACGTAGACCGCTGTTGCCGCTAATTCAACGTCTACCACGGCAAATTACTAGCACCGAGTTTCTTTTTATTCCCAGCCGGGGAATGTGGCGTTAAATTCGCAGGATTTCAGGTTTCTCGAACTATGCGACACGCTTCGAATGCGTGCTGCATGCGAGAGTCTCGATTGATGTTTTCTCCCCTTAAAATTCCTCCATTATTTATTCGTGGCATCTAAATTTATTCTTAGATCGAAATTATAAGGCAATTCAAACACAGGAGGAACCCTTTTTGCTAGGGGTACGCATGAATTTTCATCTTCTATTGGCAAGATGGTAAATAATGATAGATAATATTTTGATATCCCTCACAATCACTGCTTTAAATTGTTATTTTATTGCATATTTTGATATTACAATCCTTTAATTAGAAAAAAGATTCACGAAATTTGGACTCTATTTAATCCTCGGACGGCAGACCATGGAGAGTGCCCCAATCTTAAATTGGTGGCTGTTCCCTTAAAAATGATTCTTTGAATATCTGAAAGTATTTCGTTTAAAAAATATACATTTAACTGTAACTTAATATCTTTGTGTATGTTTTGTGAGTTTAAGTCTATATTGTTTCAGATTTCGCTGTTCAAGGGTTAAATGAATCATTGAATTCGTTAAACTTGTAGAATATCATTGGAATATTGAAATCTAAATAGAACAAACGCTCGCGTCCTTCACCTCTCCGCATTATCTTCTTTCCTTAGTTGCTGCCGCGATTTGCATTGACCTTAAGTCGCGAATACACGCTTAAAATATCCAATTATCTTGAGTTATTCTCGACGAGTATTTTTTTTCCATCCACGGCACAATGTGGTTCGTTGTGTCGCGGTTAAATCTCCTGCAGACCCTGAAAAAAAAAATCAACCGCTGTTGTTCCTTTTGCCTCCATCCCTCGATGCATTATCGTCGATTTCTCAAGCGGATTTTTATTCGACGCCGCGATCGAGCAGGCGGTTAACGAGAAAAAAAAAAAAAAAATACGAAATTTATCCTTTCTGGTGGAGCTTTTTATTCGACGAGGGTCGAGGATGAATTCGAGACACGACAAGTAACATTTTGACGAGCGGGTTGCTCGACTCACGATGACGTGCAAAAGCTCGCGAGGATGGTTGCAAGTGCACACGCCAGAGAAAAGAACGCGAGTCAGGTATGCGGCAGTCGCGAGAGTCGAAAACATTCGCCAGACGTAAGGCCGAAAGGAAAGACGTTATTTTAATGCACGATCAAAAATAAACGGGCGAACGATCGTGAAAAGCTCGAGTCCACTATCGCCCAGCCAGAAAACGCCTTTTTCCATCCTCAAACGTTTCGCCCTTGTGTTTGATCTGCTGCGCGGTTTACTCCCAACGGATCTCCTAACTGCTGGGTATCTATTCAGATTTGATTGAAAACTGATGGTTGGATATAATTTTCGTGAGTCGTAAAAAATTATGCAAATTACAGACTTTTCATTGTCTCAATTACCACGCAAAATTCTTTTGTACGACTAAAAATAAGATGGAAATATTTAGGCAGAAATCGGCCACTGAATCATCTGACCTGACGTGGCATTCAGTACATCAAAGGTTTCACCCACTCGACCCAGCTAAAAGTAAACATCTTTCGATCTTCATATAAATGTCAAGTCGCAATTTCTCGATCCTCTAATAATCTTCCGATAAATTCGATGCAGCAGTCTGAACGATCCAATATTCCAATCTACGCCTCGGTGATTCATCAAAGCAGCAACAACTTAATCAATTCACCAGAAATGAAACATCTTTCGATACTCGTTCTCAGTTTCTCTGCAAAGGATCATCGGCTTCCGCGTACAATACCTATCGCGGTTATCTTCCAGAATAGCGGTACAAATCGCGGAAAGATCCTGGTGTGTGATTGTCGCGTTGGCATTGATTCGGAATTGAATTTCTCGCGGATAGCCCGGCGTCGAAGTTTCCATCCATCACGCGGATTATTCCAGCAACGCGTCGAGACAGTAACGGGGATCCTTTGGTAGAAAAATTCCCACGGTACACGGTAGAACTTTATTGCCAGTCAACCGGTGGATGCGTCCTTTTCATCGATCCCGCATCCTGTATTCGTTGCTTTTCAGCCTTCTCAGGATGTACTCGCGTTCGCTCGCCGCCTGAATAATCCTCCACCACCCGCGCATACATCAAAACACAATATCTTCATGTAGCAGTTATCTCGTCGGTGATTTCGCGGCGAGTCGTGCACCCTAGCCGCAAACACGGCCTATGGGTGCACGTAGGATGTTGCGAGCGGGGAATGGATGTGCTTCCGCGAGAAGGTTGGAAAATTATTAGGGACCGTTCTCTTGCTCGACAAATAAAGGCGATCCCTTTATGGGAAAGCCAAGGGTGTCTGGAATTGCACCCTTAACAACTTAACACGTTGACTGGCAGAGTGAGACATATCGATATTTGAATTATTTATCTTTGAAAAACTAAGGCGGAGGCTTGTCGAGCTTCTCATTAATTAGAAAATATTATTGCTTTTCTCATCAATAACATTCTCAAAAAATTATTTATTTATTGAGGACTTATGTCTTCAAGATTAGTATCGAAGATATGATTTTGCTTTAGTTATTATTAAAAAGGGATGCTTTATAAATGAATTGTTACGTCAGGCTCGGTCTTTCTAGGGCTAACCCTTTCACTGGAAAATAATGTGTGTTGGTATTCAATTGATATAAAAAAATGAATCAAAGCACGTACGTTCATTCTTA